TTCTTCCTTTACCAGGGGCTCCTGGTAAACTGTTACACAGAACAATGATGCTGTATTAATTTTTCTCTTATTCTGTCACCTCTCCATGTTCTTTGGGGGGATAGTTTCTATTCCTATGTCCTTAAGTCGATTAATCTTTCCTTCTATAACATCTAATTCTGCTAATAATCCCATTCCTTATATTTTTCATTTCTGATGTGGTAGCTTTCATCTCTAGAAGTTCAATTTGGGCCTTTTGTAATTCTTCTAAATCTCTACCATAACCTCTTCAATGAATACTTATAATATGAATATATTTATAATAACTATTTAAGTCCTTGTGTGATAATTCTAACATATATGTCATTTCTGGATATGTTTTGATTATCTCACTTTTTCTATCATTTAAGGTCATATTTTTTCCTGCTTTTTTGCCTGAATCATGTTTTGGGTTTTTTTTTATTAATCATTCACTTTTTGTTTGTTTTTATTTGAAATGCAACAAGACAGAGAAAGAGAGACAGGAACAGAACAGAGATCTTCCATCTACTAGTTCACTCCCTAAAAACAGTAGCGCCTGGGCCAGGTCACAGCAGAAGCTCAAACTCAATCCTAATCACCCACATGGATGACAGGAAGCCAATTACTCAAGCCAATATTTGCTGCATCTCACAGTGTACATTAGCAGGAAGCTAGATCAGAAGCACAGCCTGGGACCAGAACCCAAGCACTCCAATATGGGATGCGGGTGACCCAAGTGATGTCTCTTAACAGCTGCACTAAATGCCCACCTCCTTAGAAGGTTAATCCAGCTACTACAGGTTTTACTCCGTTGTGTGTAGGATTTTTTGTCTAAGTTTTATCAATACTCTTGAGCCTTGTTCTAGGCTGCAGTGATGTGTCCCGGAAAGAGTTTGCTCCTTTTCTGTCTTGCTTTTAAGATTTGTTAGAATGGGCCTAGACTGACTCTTCCTCCACGGTTATTCTCTCCGAGGATGCTGTCCTCAGACTGAGCTTTCTGAGAATACCTTTTGTGAACACACATGATTCCTGGCCTTGTGTGAACATCCAGCACTGTTTCCCCTAATCCTTTCTTTCATAGACCTGGGATGGCTTCCTCACACACATGTACTTACCAGTACTCTGCTGACTATTCTAAAGGATACTCTGCCAATCTCTATGCAGTTATCTATGCTCTAGAAAAAACACTGGCAGTCGGGCAATGATCCTGCATCTCTACCCTGTAAGCACAAACTGTGCACTCTAGTTATGGTCTCCGGAGCCTCTCAATACCCTCTCCTGAACCCAGAGGTTTCGCCAGGACCCATGTAGCTTCTTTCCCCCTGCACTACAGCCTGAAAACTCAAGACAGTAAGCTGGGACAATCCTGCGCCTCACATCATTTGTTTCTTCTCTCAGAAACCACTATGCTTCATTGTGTGATGTTCACCCAGTGCTTTGAAAACCACTGTTTTCAAGAACACATGTTCTATATTCTATTTCCTATGTCACTGGAACACATCATTTAAAGTGATTATAACTATGCACTGTTATGTATTTGCCTTTTCTCATTTAATCCCTCCAGTCTTCCTGTTGCTTGGGTAAAAGGACTTTTATCAGCAGTATACGGTCATGGCACTGTTCCCACCCCAACTATCAGGCCAATCAATTACAATAAAAAATCCAATTTCAGGGTGGGCATTTGGTAGGGTGGGATAAACCACCACTTGACACACCCAGAGTGCCTTGGGTTCAAGTCTCAGCTTTGCTCTCTGTTCTACTTTCTGCTAATGCACATCCTGGGAGGTACCAGCTGATGGCTAAAGTAGCTGGGCCCCCTAACACCCACATGAACTCCAGTTCTTGGCTTCAGCCTGCCCCAGCCCTGGCTATTGTGAGCATTTTGGGGTGAATAAACAGACTAGAAATTATCTTCTCTCTCACACCCCTCTTTTTCTCTCTTTCAAATAAATGAAATACTTAAAAAAAAAAGTTAAGTGCCATATAGGGTTGTTTCTAATCCCTGCTCTTATTTGATTGGGTACCCAAAGTTTTTGTTTTTCATTATCCAACAGTGTGTTTTTCTTTTGTAGGCGAGGAGGCAACCACTGGTGTGGATTCATTCAAGATAACTATTTCACAGGGGGATTTTTACTGTGTTTGTGGAGCTTTCTCACATAAACCAGTAACACAGATGTTTGATTAGATAATGATTTAATCATACCCCATACAATTTGAAGATCATTTTAATCCTATATGAAGGTACTTTAAAAAGTTCATGGAAAAATAGAATTAAAGATGTTTATTTTGATGCAAAAATGTGAAATCTATGCATAGTTTTTCCATAATACACACTTTCCATGAACTTTATGAAGAACCCTTGTATATCTATGTCTATTCTATATTCAATGATTGATTACACACAAAAATGGCTAAAACTACTAAAAGTAAGAAAAATTTTCTATAAACATGAATAGAGCAGTAACATGATAGAAAATATCATGAAACCCCTCAGGTCACATTTTGAATTTAGCAAGAACACCATTTTGAGGCCCTGAATTAAAACAATTGAAAAAGCAGGATGGTTTGATCATACAGAAAGCCTCAACAAACTTCAAAAAACTGGAACACCTCACACCAAGGGTTCTTTGAACACCACGGAATTAAACTGGAGATCAGTAACAAGGAAAAATTCCAACTTCCAGAAAATTAAACAGCACACTGTGATACACTTCTAAGTAATTTATAGGTATAAGAGAGGCAGGACAATGAATGGATCCCGAAGCCCAAAATCTGTGACCATTTGACTGTATCTGGTTAAAGGGACTTCACAAATGTGATTTAAGGTTAGAGATCTTCAGCTGGGGCAATTATTCTGGATTATCTGAATAAACCTAACCAAATCATATGGGTTCTTAAAATTAGATAACCTTTGCTGGCTGAAGATCAGAGTGGGATCTGATCTGCAGAACAGTAAATGAGGTGCAACATTGCTGGCTTGTAAGAAGGAGGAAGAGAGTGGCCAGCAGGTAGAGTCGCTGCCTGAGTGCTGGCATCCCTTATGGGCATCCATTCATGTCCTGGTTGTTCCACTTCCAATCCAGCTCCCTACGAATGGCCTGGGAAAGCAGTGGTAGATGGCCCAAGTCCTTGGGCCCCTGCACTCACGTGGGAGACCGGGAAAAAGCTCCTGGCTTAGGATCAGATCAGCTCCAGCCATTGTGGCCATTTGGGGAGTGAACCAGAGGATGGAAGACCTCTCTCTCTCTCTCTCCCTCTCTCTGTCTGTAACTCTACCTCTCTAATAAATAAAGTAAATCTTGTATTTAAAAAAAAAAAAAAAAAGGAGGAGGAGGAAGAGGACCAAAGCCAAGGCTTGCAGGTAGTCTCTAGAAGCTAGAAAAGGTAGGGGAAGTGATTCTCCTCTAGTGTATCTATCAATGAACATAGTCTTACTCACCTCTTCAACGTTAGCCACAGGAAACTTATGTCAGATTTCCAAGCCACAAAACCACAAATAAGTTTGTGTTGGAAGTTACTAAATTTGTTACAGCAAAAATAGAAAACCAATAAAATAGAATTAAGAAAAAAGTATAAAATATTTTTAACTGAGGACAATGAAAATACAACATATCAACACCCACAAAATGTAGCTGAAGTACTTAGTGGAATATATAATTATAATTATAAATGTATATGAGAGGAGAAACTGAAATTCAAAGAATCAAGCTTCTAAAAAATTAAAAGAAGAGTCAGACCTGAAGTAAACAGAAGGAAATAAAGGAATAGAAATCTGTAAGATAGAAAGCAAACATACAAAACATACAACAGTCTTTTTAAAGAGTCGATTCTGTTTAACATTAATAACACTGACAAATCCCTAATACAACTTAAGAACAAAAGAAAAATATAACAAATTACCAACATCAAGAAAGATCTAACAGACATCAAAGATTAGGAGATACTATAAATAGTGCTACAATTAATATTTGTGTTAAGCAGACAAATTCCTTGAAAAATACAACTTACCAAACTTGACAAAAGAAGAAGTGCATACAATTTTAACAGTTGGGTATCTGTTACAGAAACTGATTACATTCTTTCCCACAGAATCATTCCTAAATTTGTTAAGTATGATAATTATATTGCGGACATGTGGGAGAGTGACCCTATTTTCTGGAAATGCAAACTATGTAGGGTAAAGGCCCTAGTGTCTGTAATTTACCTTTAAATTCAGCAAATACATAAATAGGAAAATAAAAATATATATACATAAATCATGAATAAATATCAGCCATCAAATTATATATAAAAAGAGAATATATATATATATATATATATATCACAGTTGATTAAGGTTTATTCACATGCAAAAGTTGCTGAACACTGAAAAAACAATGCATGTGGACTCTCAGGCCTGGAGGACAATGGCGGCTACCCAATTTCCAACCTCACCACATAACCTCTCAAAAAATCAAGAGAGCTTAAATAAATCCACATGTGACCCACATTCTCAGCATTACTAGAAAACAAAGAATACCATGACCTTCAGATTATCTGTAAAAAAGGAAATAAACCAAATTATAACATAACTCCCAGGGTCCCATGGGGAGGAAAAGCTTAAGAGATGGGAGGGGGGTTGCTATTGTGCTGTAAAGCCACCCCCTGCAGTGCGAGAATCCCACAGGGGCGCAGGTTCAAGTTCCAGTTGCTCCACAACCAATCCAACTCTCTGCTATGGCCTGTGAAAGCAGAAAATGGTCATGTCCTTTGGCCCTTGCACCCATGTGGATGAAGCTTCTGGCTCCTGGCTTAGGGTCTGCCCAGCTTGGGCCGTTGCGTCCATCTGGGAAGTGAATCAGTGGATGGAAGATCTCTCTAGGACTTACAGCACAGGGGAAAAAAAAATCACACCCAGAAAAGGAAAGTCCAACTAATGCCAAACTACTAAAAATAGGTTGTGACAATGGCAATTTGGAGCAGAGGCTGTGAAAATAAGTGGAGCCAAAAGTGAGTCTCGGCCGCCGTTGCTCTCTAACGCCAGCGCCGCCTCTCGCTCGCCGAGCTCCAGCCGAAGGAGAAGGGGGGTTAAGTAAGGAGGTCTTTATACCATGGCTCATACAAAGCAGACTGCCCGCAAATCGACTGGTGGTAAAGCACTCAGGAAGCAACTGGCTACAAAAGCCGCTCGCAAGAGTGCGCCCTCTACTGGAGGGGTGAAGAAACCTCATCGTTACAGGCCTGGTACTGTGGCACTTCGTGAAATCAGACGTTATCAGAAGTCCACTGGGCTTCTGATTTGCAAACTCCCCTTCCAGCGTCTGGTGCGAGAAATCGCTCAGGACTTCAAAACAGATCTGCGCTTCCAGAGCGCAGCTATTGGTGCTTTGCAGGAGGCAAGTGGGGCCTATCTGGTTGGCCTTTTTGAAGACACCAACCTGTGTGCTATCCATGCCAAACGTGTAACAATTATGCCAAAAGACATCCAGCTAGCACGCCGCATACGTGGAGAACGTGCTTAAGAATCCACTATGACGGGAAACATTTCATTCTCAAAATTTTTTTTTTCTCTTCTTCCTGTTATTGGTAGTTCTGAACGTTAGATATTTTTTCCCATGGGTCAAAAGGTACCTAAGTATATGATTGCGAGTGGAAAATAGGGGACAGAAATCAGGTATTGGCAGTTTTTCCATTTTCATTTTTGTGTGTGGATTTTTAATATAAATGCAGGGACGTAAAGCATTAATGCAAGTCAAAATGTTTCAGTGAACAAGTTTCAGCAGTTCAACTTTATAACAATTATAAATAAACCTGTTAAATTTTTCTGGACAATGCCAGCATTTGGATTTTTTTAAAACAAGTAAATTTCTTATTGACGGCAACTAAAAAAAAAAAAAAAAAAAGTGAGTCTCAGCAGAGCTTTCTTCCTGAGGAAGAATCAGATGTATCAGAAATGGCTGATCCCTCTTGAAGTCTGTGGCAGTGACAGAACAAAGGGAAAGAACAAAATGAGAGAAAAATGAGGATCCTACAGAAATAAAGGAATACAAGACGGCCGGCGCCGCGGCTCACTAGGCTAATCCTCCGCCTTGTGGCGCCGGCACACCGGGTTCTAGTCCCAGTCGGGGCACCGGATTCTGTCCCGGTTGCCCCTCTTCCAGGCCAGCTCTCTGCTGTGGCCCGGGAGTGCAGTGGAGGATGGCCCAGGTGCTTGGGCCCTGCACCCCATGGGAGACCAGGATAAGTACCTGGCTCCTGCCATCGGATCAGCGCAGTGCTCTGGCCGCAGTGCGCCGGCCGTGGCGGCCATTGGAGGGTGAACCAACAGCAAAGGAAGACCTTTCTCTCTGTCTCTCTCTCTCACTGTCCGTTCTGCCTGTCAAAAAAAAAAAAAAAAAAAAGGAATACAAGACACCAATCCATCCTGTCATCATCAGCCACAAATGAAACTGCCCAGGTGAGGCTCGAACCAACAAAAACAACACCGCCCATGCAAGCAACAGCAGTAGAAAAAGCACAGACCTCGTCCAGTGATCTCTGATCAGGAGAGCAATCACTTATGGAGAGTCAGTGACTGGAAGGGGATGGAAGGAAGCTTCTAGGGTGCCAAATTCTATTCCTTGACCCCTGGCTACCAGCTCTACGGGAGTTTTCCTTGTGTGAGAATACACGGAACTATATGCTTATAACATGTGCTTTTCTGTATATATAATCATCCTTCAACTTAAAAAAAAAAAAGATGTCTGCTCTCTAGAGAATTATAATCTAAAAAAAACATGTAAGAGAAAACATAAACAACCAAAACAACCTTTCTTTTAAAGTGAGGGGATAAAGAATAACAACACATGGCACTATTGGAACAGGAAGGAGAAACAGGGATGGCATTCCCTTTGTTTTTTTTCCTCCACTTTGATCCACTCCTCCTAGGTTTACTCCTATAGTTGTGCTGTTCAGTGCACATGGTTCCCCAGGCATAGCTCTGTCCACCTTTCCCTGCTGACCCAAGTTAGAGACAGAGGTGAAGGCACGTGACCCATGCCAGGTTAGTCCTCTCTCTGCCCTTACTGAAGATGTTGGGAGAAAACAGCTTCTTCTAAGATCCTGAGGAAAACACCTGTATCACCTGGAGCTACTGGGGGTTATCTTTCACGTCATTTGGAAATAAAATCAAACCTGACAAAGGGATCAGCAATTATAGGGTGTGGACAGAGACGGGAAAATAGAAAGACGGAGAGCAGGTGATACTTCTTGAACACCTGGATCAAACTGTACGCAGCCATTGAACCATTCACTTTTGTGGGCTAAACCACTCTTTTCTATGTGAGCTTCTCTGAGTTGCTTAGGTTTTTGTTACCTATAACTGAAAGAGTCCAGTCCAACATAAAACCTGAAAGAAGGCCTGACCTGAGTATAGGGTAATTTGAAAAGCAACTCTCTTTTCATTTGTGAACATAGAGACTCTAAAGTGTTCTCTCTGAACCTACGGAACAGTTCCTTCTGAGTTCACTGTATTAGTAGCTGCCTTCCCCTGTCGGCAGATACTTCCTAGACCAACTAAAGAAAAGAAAACTCAGAATGCTGACAGAGAGAGAAGACAAGAATATAACTGGCATATTGCTTCAAATCTCTATTAAAAAAATCTCAATATTACTGCTTTAAAATGCTTTCTTCTACCAGTTTCAAAACAGTTAAGGTCATAAAAATTCTTATCTGGGGCAATTTATTCAATTAAAGAGTATATGTTTTATTTTAAGAGAAAGAAGACTGTGGAGAGGCCAACACTGTGACATAGCAGGTTAAGCCACCACCTGCAACGCCGGCATCCAATATAGGCCCTCGTTTGAGTCCTGGCTGCTCCACTTCCAATCCAGCTCACTGCTAATGCACCTGGGAAGACAGTGGAAGATGGCCCGAGAGCTTGGGCTCCTGCACCCACTTGGGAGACCAGGAAGAAGCTCCTGGCTCCTGGCTTCGGATCAGCGCAGCTCTGGCCATTGCGGCCATCTGGAGAGTGAACCAATGGAGGGAAGACCTTTCTCTCTGTTTCTCTCTCTCACTGTCTGTAACTCTTCCTCTCAAATAAATAAAAAAAAATAGGTGATGGAAATTTTTCATAATAGAAATATTCTGAATTTGTTTAATAGTGTTGTTCTTTGAAAAAGATTTCAGGGCTGGCGCCGTGGCTCACTTGGTTAATCCTCTGCCTACAGCAACAGTATCCCAAAAGGGCGCTGGGTTCTAGTCCTGGTAGCTCCTCTTCCAGTCCAGTTCTCTGCTGTGGCCCAGGAGGGCAGAGGAGGATGGCCCAAGTGCTTGGGCTCCTGTACCCACATGGAAGACCAGAAAGAAGCACCTGGCTCCTGGCTTCAGATAAGTGCAGTCCTGGCTATAACGGCCATTTGGGGAGTGAACCAACGGAAGGAAGACCTTTCTCTCTGTCTCTCTCTCTCACGTCTATAACTCTACCTGTCAAATAAAATTTTTTAAAAAGAAAAAGAAGATTTCAAATTCCAGATTAATAGGGGCAGAGTTTCCTTCAAAAAGTACCCCCTCTTTTCCAAGTGTATTACAATGATAATAAAACATAAAAGAGTGACTAAAGGGCCCAACTGGGTTCAAATTCAAGATAAAAATCTCTGTGCCAAGTAGATTTATCCTAGAAAAGCCAGCGTGGCATAACATAAGAAAATCAATGTAATACACGACATTAATAGAACAAAGGGAGGGGAAAACTTATGATCAGTCCAAATGATGTAGAAAAAAACCTGCCAGAATTTAACATTTTTTCATGACAAAAAAAAATAAATAACTAGAATTAAAAATCCAGGGAACTGGGACTAGATAGGCACTTCCTCTGTTTGATAAAGGGCATCTATGAGAAATAAACAGCTAACATCACACTTTGAAAGCTTTGGCCGCGAGATCAGGGATAAGACAAAGATGCCTGTTTTCCCAATGCTCTTGAAAACTCTACAGAACATTCTAGTCACAAGATTAAGAAAGAAAAAGACATTAAAGTTATTCAAATTGAAAAGGAAGAAATAAAACTATACTATTCACTGATAATACTCCTATATATAGAAATCCTAAAGAATACACAACAACCTGCTAGAGCTAATAGATGAATTCAAGAAGTTGCTAGCCACAGCTGTGTTTATATATACTGGGAATGAAGAATCTGAAAAAAATTATTTTAAAAAATTATTCATATAAAGAGAACGGACTTCATATATTTCAAGATACAATTCTAAGAAGATAACAATACTTACTTCCCCTCCTCCCTCCAAATACCACTTACAATAGCTTTCAAAAGAATAAAATACCTAGGAATAATTCAACCAAGGAAGTAAAAAAAAAAAAGAAAACTCAAAAACTCATACATTGAAAACTGCAAAACACTGCTAAAAGAAATTAACAAAGACCTAAAGAAGAGTTAAGACTCCCTATATTCACAGAAGACTTAATATTGTCAAGATGGCAGTATTCCCTAAGTTTTTACAAATTTAATACAACCCCTATCAAAATTCCAACTGCCATTTTTACAGAAATGAAAAAGTTGACTGCAATAGTTCTCAAAGAGGCTCAGAAATTGACGGTTAAAAGTCAACGCAATACAAAACAAAAAGTTCACACCACAACTGCCCATTAAAACCACAGCTTTTGTTTTGCTAGCCCTATATGATGCTATATTTTGTTACCAAACTGGGCAACCATTTAAATATAAAGTTGACTTGAAAATACTTTTGTAATATCTTTTGAGTTAATAAACATGAAATGACTAGACTTCTATTTCTAAAGTTACATTTTTTCGATTCTGAAATTCAACAATAAGAAGTCATTTGGGGCCGGCGCTGTGGCGTAGTGGGTAAAGCTGCCACCTGTAGTGCCAGCATCCATATGGGCGCTGGTTCGAGTCCCGGCTGCCCTACTTCTAATCCAACTCTCTGCTATGGCCTGGGAAAGGGGAAGAGATGGTCCAAGTCCTTAGGCCCCTGCCCCCACATGGGAAGACCCAGAGGAAGCTTCTGGCTCCTGGCTTCAGATATGTGCAGCTCCGGCCATTGTGGCCAATTGGGGAGTGAACCAGCCGATGGAAGATTCTCTCTCTCTCTCTCTCTCTCTTTCTGCCTCTCCTTTCTGTGTAACTCTGACTTTCAAATAAATAAATAAATCTTTAAAAAAAAAAGTCATCTGACTTATTTCCCTTTATCAAAGCCAGACTTAGAATATTTTTCAGATATCCGTTCATTCCAAAGCAAACAAGCTTATTCTTTTTTTTTTTTTTTGGGGGGGGGGGGGTGTTTCTAAATATCTGCGTAACTCTCATTCAAAGGAATGAATGGCCCAACCTGCTTTTTACAGTACTTGAGTATATATCATTCCAATATACAGAAACTAGTCACATTTACAGGGTCTTTAAAGCCCTTCTGAGTATGGCTCAATTTGGAACGAAGTCTAAGTAACTTAAAAGAAACCTAGAAGTGTCTGTCAGTTAATGGTTTCTCCCAAGAAAAGACAGTCAAGACCCAAAAAAGATGCAAAAGATGCAGTTCCTGAGCACACCATTTTAAAAAAATGTCTTGGCATCCCTAGCACATGTCTACCCAGGAATGGGATAAACTATGAAAGATGGCAAAAGACTGTTTGCATCTCTTAGCTGAGTGTTAACATTAGAAATAGTCTCACTGGTCAAAAATAGCAACAACATTTTGAAAGAAAAATTACACATCAACAACATCTAGGAGCTCTTTTCATTATGAACGAAATTGCAAGCAAGAGGGCTCAATGGAAACAAAGCCAGGAAGCAGAGAGAGATGGAAAGG